CGCGCTCGCTGGGGCGGTCGAGGGAGGACATTGGCCGGTGGTGGAGATCGAGGGACCGCGGGTTGCGGCCGACGTAGTCATAATAGTGGTTTTGCGACGGTTGGTCATGTCTCTGGTGGTGGTGGTGCTGCTGGTCATGTCTCTGTTGGTCCTCTTTTCTTGTTTCCTCTTCCTTGGCCAGACCGACCATGCAATCCTCCAGATCAAACAGCAACTGATCGACGGTTCTCAAGAGGGTCGAGGATTTGGCGGTGGGGAGGGAGGGCAGCGGGGTGGGGGGCGGGGGCAGGCGGGATCGCGGGGGCGGGCCGGCAGCGGGAGGCAAGTAGGCGGCTGAGGCGACATTGCCGTGGGTGGTGGAGGAGGAGGGCAGTGGGTAGTGGTGGGAGTAGTCCTCGTCGTGGTGGTAGGAAGGGCGACGGGAGGAGGAGGGAGCGGCGGAGCGAGAACGGGGTGGTGGGATGGGTTGCTGTTGTTGTTGTTGTTGTTGGTGGTGGGTGTTGTTGATGAGAACGTCTTTGCGGAGGGGTTGGCGGGACTGGCGGTAGTCGTGGGAAGCCAGATAGGGGTCGTTGCAGTTGTCGTTGGCGACGGCCGGAGACATTGTTGAGAGGGGAGAGATGCAAAAAGGGCGAATGGCAAGTGGGAGGGGGTTGATAAAAGGGGCTGGGAGGGACAGCGGCAAGGCGGGGGGCGGCAGCGGGAAGCGAGACGAGACGAGCAGGCAGGAGGACGCAGAGGCGTTTGTGCGAGATGTTTTAGTTGCGATGTTGTGTGTGTGCAGAAAGCAGTGAGTCTGACGCAAGCACGTAGTCTCACGTCTGTCTCTCTCAAGTCTCTCTCTCTCTCGCCTAGTCAATCAGTCAGTCAGTCAGTCAGTCTCTAATCAATGCGGCAAATGGGAAAAGGAGAGAAAGTGAAAGGCGCCTATCTCTAGGGACACACAGCGTCTACATCTAGCCATGGATAGATTCATCATTCCCTAGATCTATCGTCCAGACTCACAACTCACTTGACTCGCCTTGACGCACTGGGGGGGGAAATCACTCCTGGGGACGACCTCGCAGATATCACATGACATGACATCGCATGCATGGATGATGGATATAGGTGAATAGATATAGGCGAATAGAATCAGTACGCAAGTCACTCCACTCACTCAAGTCACTCGCCTGTCTCTCTTCTCTGTCTGTCTGTCTGTCTGTCTGTCTTGACCGCATCGCTGCCTGAAACCGTGGATTCATTCGCCTTCCCCCAACATCTCATAGACAGACACAACAATGCGTCGCATCGTACTACTCTGATAGTGAAACTATCACCGCCGTGTGTTCCTTCTTGCCCCTCATGAAAAAGCCAAACCCGCAATCGCCGCCGTGTGTCACCCGTGTACAGTACATGCATGCACAGAATACACAACACGCCTACACCCACACTCTCACTCACTCTCTCGGGGGGTGGCTTTTCCTCCCAGTGACCACCATTCCTGTGCGCGTGCGTCGCTCGTCTACTGTATAACCATATATCCCATATCACATCACAAAACACAATCATCCGCTTTGGCCTTGACTTTCGCTTGTTCCAAAACAAAAGGGAATGGAAACGAGGACTCGGAAGGTCGTTTTTACAACCCGGAAAGCCTCCTCCTCCCTCCCTCTGGTCGTTTGATCGATCTATCTGTGCTTGTCGACTTTTCTCTCTCTCTCATCTGATATATTTCCCTTTTTCTCTGGTCCTGTGCCCCTGTCTGTGCCTCCGTAAGACGACCGCTCAATCTCCTGTCTCTCTCTCTCTTGTCTCTCTTTCATTCTTTTCGTGGGGAGGCGCATACGACAAAAGATCACTCTTCCATCTCCGGACCGGATCGATACTTGTTCTGGCGCCGTAGCCTCCTCAGCCCTCTTTGCAAGAGACTAGCAGAGTACAGTACAGTAGCTGCAGTGGTTGTTGTTCACTTACGCTTACTGGTTGTGGCTGTTGGGCGTTCTCCCTCCTTTCTGTCCGTCCATCCGTTCGCGCTCTGCTCTGCCTAAAGTAGTAGGACTGCGTCCATCATCTTCCTCATCCAGATAACGGACCGCTGAACACTCTACACTGAACACTCACCTTTTTCCCATCATCATCAACATCATCATCATCATCACACTTTCTCTCACCCTCGTATTGTGAATCTTTTTATCGCTCTGCAACTTGCCCTCAGCCCCCATATTGACCACGCTTTGCCTCACCACGTAAACCCACACTCTGCCCCACCAACGTATCAACCGGAACGCCTGCCGTGCCCTTTGGCGTCGGTCGCCCTCTCCCACTCTACTGTTCTCGGCTTCCGCCCAGCAAACTACAAACCACAACTATCGCTCCCTCGGAAGGCCTGGGCGTTCACCCTGCTTTCTCTCGTTCTCTCAAACCATACCCTCCGTCCTCCGTTACCCTTCCGTCCGCGCCAGTGCTTAACAACTCGACTCCCTCCTCTACCACCCCCCTTCCCTCTTCCCTCTTTCCTGCACCCTGCACCCGCACCACTCCAACGACCCGCCGTCCGCCATGCCTGCTCAAACTGGTCCTCGCGTCCTCTCGCCAGAGGCCGCGGCCGCTGCCGCCGCGACAAAGTCATCCACAATGGCATCGGTCGATGCTCTCCTCGCCGAAATTCAGTCGGAAATTCAAAAGACCATGGACGGTTCTCAGCCGTCCGGCCGCAACCAACAGCAACAACAACAACAACAACAACAACAACAACAACAGCACCACCACCAGCGAGAACCCTCCCTCAACCACCAGTACGACCACCACCACCACCGCCACCACCAATATCCCAGCCAAGAGCGAGACGACGCTGAAGACACCCATCCTCGCAGCGTTGTCTCCGTCTACAGCACTCACAGCTCCCACTCTTCCACCTCCGACACCCCCGCCGTCGTAGCCGACCCAACACCGCGGCCCCCCAACCCAAATCGACCCACCGCCCACCGCCTCTCCCACCACTCTCTCCATTCGGTCGCGTCCTCCTCCGCCACGTCCTCCCCCACCCTCCAGGAACCCGCCACCATCCTCTTTTCGGGCTTTCTCCGCAAAAACACCCTGTCCGCCAACCTGCTCTCCACCGCATCGTCGTTCCGCCCGCGCTTCCTGGTCTTGTCAGACTCGAACCTCTACGTCTTCCGTTCGGGAAACCTCACCGAACGATGCGTGGAAGCCCTCCCTATCACCCAAACCACCAACGCTTGTGTCGGCGCCGAGGGACTCTGGGTCCTGGAACTCAATGCAAAGTGCACCGACATTGCGACGGGAGTCGCCGTCAAGAACTGGAAACTGCAGTGCGCGAACCGCGACGAAATGGTCGAGTGGCTCGCGGTCCTCCGATCTGCGATCGACCGCGCGAAACTCGTCGCTCGCACCGCGGGCAAACCCGCTACTCCGTACCCGTCCGTCAACACGGGTCGCGGACTCCAGCTGGATGTGCTCCTGGGCCTCGCGAAACCGAATGCGGCGGCCGCTGCTGCGGCGGCGGCCGCGGCGGCTTCCAAGAATGCAAAAAACAGTCTCGGCACATCTACCCCACCGGCTGCGACGAGATCAACCCCGCCCCACGACCCGCTCCAGGATACCATCGCGATCCTCGAAGATCTTGAACGCGTCCACATGGCTGCCGCTGCGAAACATGATGCCGCCGCGGCCGCTGCTGCTGCTGCTGCTGCTGCTCACGCTGCGTCTCCCGGCCCGTCCCACTTGGACATGCCGCCGCCACCGTACGACGGACCCTCCTCGTACAACTACAGCAGCAGCAACCACCATCACCCAGGCAATTACCATAACCATCACCCTCACCAACAGCAACAGCACCGGGAACCTCATGCCGAGTATTACCACCAACAACCACAACAGCACCACCACCATCCATCCTCCTCTTCCTCAGACCCCTCGCATCACCCCCATCGCCCCCTCGAACGCGCCCACTCGCAGCCCGTACCCCACCACCATCAACAAACCGTCCAACAACACCACCAGTACGCCCAACACCACCTCTCCCACCCCGCATCCCACCGCAACTCGCCACTACACGAAGACGACGTGCACCACCATTACCGCGCCAACAACGAAGACTACCACGTTGACGATCCGATTGCACTCGGAAAGCAACTCAAGGAGGAAAAGAAGGCAATGGCAAAAATCCTCAAGGATCAGGCCAAGAAGGACAAGGAGGAAGCGGCCGCGCAAGCCAAGCGCGACAAGGAGGAGCTGAAATTGGAAAAGGAACGCGAACGCGTGGAAAAGGAACGCGAACGCAAGGAAAAGCAGGCCATGACGGGTGCGGGCGGCATGTTTGGCGTTGCGTTCATTGCGTAAAGCCAAACAAAAAAAAAAGAATCACCCCCCGCCAAGCACAAACAACATACCTCCAACAACCCAACCCCTCGCTGTTACGTCGCGCGAAACATATCTGACAAGTTGGTTTAGGCATACACCGTATGCCTCATCTAATATCCTAGACTTTTTTTTTTTTTTAAAAACTCTTTACCCCTTTTTCGCACACAACTATACATGATCCCCCCCCCCCGCCCCCCGCTGACACCTTTTGATCAGCTACTACGCGTATAGATTATATAGAGGTTACCCCACACACCCCGTACACAACTAGCATATTTTTACCTGTCCATTTTCGGTTTTGTCTGTTTTTGTTTTCTTTTTTTTGTTATCGAGACTTGTCCCCCTTTCGTTCGTATTCTTGGACGGAGGGTGTGGAATATGTAGACGTAAACGAATCCTCTCTTTTCTCAAATGTATAATTTTTGCTCGATCTCGACTTGTCATGGCCCAACATAAATCTTTGATGGTGTATTTGAAGACACTCCCGCATATACAGACATGCAAGACGAACCGTGAGTCCCTGTTAGCAACATTACTAAAGTCGTATCAGATGGCGCTGGCTTGATGTTAAAATTACCACGGGTGCCCTGGGTGCACAACCAAACCGAGGCCCATAACCTATTAAATAGTTAGACCAGGGGTAATAGGAATCGAACCTATATCGTTGGTTTTGGAGACCAAAATTCTAACCATTGAACTACACATCTTGGGTTCCCGGCCTCTCTTGGCGACTCGAGGCGGACCAGTAAAAGCTTGAAATGGGGGACCAGGCAGGCGCGTGGCGGGTGCGAGCAAAGCCACAAGGCCCGCCATTCCGCCAAGCCACGTTTCTCACCCCCGAGAAACACAGCCACCACTTTATTTTTGCGGCATTTCGCATTATTTTTTGCAGGGACGCATACAGTATTTCGCCCTCATGCCAATCCCCATCTCCCTCGCACACACACCCGCCCCTCTACGCATCCTCACCTCCTTCCTCGCGCCGCACCAATGGTACATTGACGGGTTCCACCTCTTTGATTTCTTCACGGACGATCTGTGGGGCGCCGTCGACCCCGCGTGGCGCGCCTTTGTCGATGCCGAGGCCGCCGACAAGGGTGTGGACGCGTGGATAAATGTGCTGGTCGGTGTGGCGTGTGGCGCGGACGTGCCGAGCGGATGGCCGAGCGGAATGGCGCATGTGGTGAGGGGCGCGAGGGAGGTGGCGTTTGGGAGGGAGGTGGAGGCCGAGGGGGAGGATGTGGAGGATGTGAGTGTGGGTGGGGTGGGGTTTTGGCTGTTTTTGTTTTGTTTTGTTTTTGTTTATTTTGTGTGTGTTTTTTTTTTTTAGGAGGAAGCGTGTCGGCTCGCGGCCATGTCGCGCAAGAAGCTGCATGAAGTGGAGCGCATGGCCAGAGTCGTGCGGGACGTTACGCGGCGTCATAATGTCGATGTAAGTAGAATTCTATTTTATCCAATTCCCAAGAGTGGGGGGCGTAGAGAGTATGGAGAGTTTTAGAGACTATCCCCCATCTCATCAAAGCACGCCGAAACCCCCCTAATCTAAAAACCCTTTTTGTGTTTGTTGTTGGTGTTTGGGCCAGGCCATTATTGACGTTGGCGCGGGAACAGGTTACCTCACGCACACGCTCGCTGCGCAAAACCCGCATCTCCAAGTGTACGCTCTCGACAGCGACGCTACCCGGACGCACGGGTCGCTCACGCGCGGGGCTAGGATCCTGCCCAGCATCCACCACCAAAAAAAACCAGCAAACCCCACCTCATCTCCATCACCCCAACTCCACCCCCACCCACCCATCAAACACATCACCGCCTACCTCACCCCAACCACCCTCGCAGAGCACTGCCAGCAGAACCGGGAAAACAACAGCCTTGTTCTCGTTGGCTTGCACGCGTGCGGGGACCTCGGCGGCCGCACCCTGCTCGACACATTCGCCCACTGCCCCGCCGTCAAAGCACTCGTCGTCTCGTGTTGCTGTTACCAGCGTATCGCCCTCAGTAACGACCCCAGCAACACCCATGTCGGATTCCCGCTCTCGACCGCCCTCCGTGACATCCTCGCAGCGTCGACCCTGAAAATCACCCACAGGGGCCTTGCCGCCGCGTCCCTCACCTTCGCGTCCTTTAAAGACCGCGCTACCATCAAACACGCACTGCGCGGACACTACCACCGCGCGCTCCTCCAATTCCTCCTTGCCCAAATACACCCACCAGCAACATCAACAACAACAACAACCACCACCACCACCACGACCCGCGTAGGTTCGGTCCCGCACACGGCAACCACATCCTTCCCCCTCTACGCCGCCGCCGCCCTGCACAAACTCAACATCCCGCTCACACCCCACATTGAAACCCTCATCGCCACCCTCGCGACCACCACGACCACCGCCCTGGCGCGCATTGCGTTCCTGTGTACCCTCCGCAGCACCCTCGGCCCCGCCCTCGAGAGTCTCGTCATTGCGGATCGCGCAAACAGAGCGAGAGAATGTGTAGACGAATGTGGGGGCGGCGGGGAGGTGAGCGTATCCAATGTGTTTGAGTATACCAAGAGTCCCCGCAATACGGTTCTGGTCGCGGAGAAAGGGCTGCGTGTTGAGTTTTTGAGGTCCCCCATAACAACCACAACAAGCAATCGTACACTCTGCATCGTACCCTCAGCCCCGCAGTAGAAAGCACCGTCATTGCGGATCGCGCGAATAGAGCGAAAGAATGTGTAGACAAATGTGGTGGTGGGGATGTGAGAGTATGCAATGTGTTTGATTAGACGCTGAGCCCCTGCAATATGCTACTGGTGGCGGAGAAAAAGTGCGAGTTCAGGGGTTTTTGAGCGGGGAGGAGGAATTTGACATACCGCGGATTTTGGAACCGGCAAAGTCCTGCATATACACATCGTGCTTCTTCTACCTCGCACGCTCGCTCCCTGCATGGTCTCTGCCCAATCCTGCGGGCTCGAGATTCAACTACGCAATTCTACGCTGACTATCTTTTTCCCATCCTCTTCCGCCTCGGTGGAGCTCATCATGCTCTGTTGGCAAGCGTCGCACACAAACTTCCAGTTTTGCAGTACTTGCAATTGATCTTTGCGTTTTTTCGGTGGCTCCATTGGGTGTGGATAGTCCGGATGAACGCATTCTTATAAAAAAAAAAAAAATGCCATCAGCTGAACAAAGACAGGAGTTTCCTGTTGCCCGCCGGTCCCGAACACATACCCGGATGAAAATCTGAGCCACACGGGTTAACACAATGAGACCTGTTGTCGCACGTGACGAGGAACATCCAGGTGGACGTTGTAGATTCACTGTAATCGCAATTGCAGCAGACACCTTTGCCCAGCGGCGTGTCGTCTTCTGTCTCTGAACGCTCGAGGTCACTCATCAGAGGTTGTCTGATTAACCGTCTCTTGCGCGCGGGGGCAGGGGCGTGACGTGCGAGCGCGCGGGAAGGGACACGACGGCGACTCGTTCGTGGAGTGTATTCTGAATCAGAGTCGCTGGTAGTTTTGGCCCGCGACCTTTTCATACGTGCAGCGGGGACGGCACCGATGTGATGCTTGGAAGCTTCAACATCGCTGCCGTCGTCGCTCATGCTAGAGGCCATGTACACCCGTCGCGTCGTTGACGGTTTCGCCGGTGTGATAGCATCGCCGTAAAACACTGACCCACCGCTGATGGTGGGTATTCCCGATCCATTTAAGCGCGCCCTCACGTACTTTTGAAACTCGCACAAGAGGTGCTCTGTATCATGAAGCCTCAAAATCAGAGGTTCGCTGCCAAGAATCTCGTCATCCACTGGATGCACGACCTTTAGAGTGACGTTCAGTGCGTCCGTGGCAAGCTGCAAGTGCTCCGGAGTTCCTGCAAAGCCCAGAAGGACCAGGCCACGCTTCGCTCCAGGTCCAGGCGGCAGCCTGCTAGGAGGTTCGATGCCAGCGCCATACATGACTAAATCGAGGGTGCCCTGGGTAGCGTGAAACTCTCCGACACCACCAAATGTGTGGAGGATTTCACGCCCACTACCAAATGTTGGTCTCAATGGCGAGGCGGAAGTGCCGAATAGAATGCTGCCCGCAAGCTTGCTTTTCTTCCAATTTGAGCAAAGATTTGTCTGAATTTGAGTTATGCTATCGCACGACATGAACGCGGAATTCTGCAGCAAGCAAGACAAATAATGGGTCCAAGCTTCACACAAATCTCGAGCCGGGCAGCAAGCCACCGGACATTCTTACCCGCCATTTGAATGGGTTGCGGACCTTGCGTCTTTTCTCGTCCTGGAAACGCTCCTCCCACCTGCTCAGAGTCTCTATTGCATGCGCTAAATTCGTTACATATCCCATGCTTTCCGTGCTGGATCTTTTTGACAGAAACCGGTGGAGAACAACATTGAACAAGTACGCTGGGTCATGACAGGACCGCCCCGCGAAAATTGAGCACATGGCGAGAGAAGTAGCGTCGTGTTCTCTCCTAACGTTGGCAAACCGCTTTAGTGCCAAGACGGCGTCCTGAGTCCACGGGCTCGATAGACCTAGAGTAGTCTTTTTGATACGGATACTAGGTTCAATGGGTATACATCAGACCCCCGTGGAGACTGGTGTGTTGAGGTGTTTGTGTGGGTTGGTTACCGCTCGCGTTCCAAAGTGAACTGTGCGCATGCCTCAAGCATGGCGCTATCGCCATGGACTGCCGGCCCCGAACTTTGTTGAGTGTGCCGACGCATTGTTCTACTGTATTTGTAACTGGCAAAGATGAAAGGAAGACGGCCGCGTGAGGCAGGCAAGGTCGATTACCGGTACTGTACGTATGCTGAAGATGTGCTTGTACAGTAAAGTTCGTGAGGACGGGCGCGAACACTGCGTGCGCTAGCTTGTCTGCGGCCGAAGTCAGGGACCTTACGCGCACATGGGTGGCTGTGTACTTGCTTTTCCCGAATAGGCATGGAGGCAGGTCTGACGGATTCCACGTGTGAGCTGTGAGTCTCCACCAATTCAACCCCAATCCAACTCGCTCCCCCCTGGAAATGAGCGGCTATGCATAACAGCCCGCGGATCCCGCTGCAACATGGGCTCAGCCCGTCACGGGCATTGCCTCAATCATGAACAAGCCGTCGGAGGGATTCTCTTACAAGCGGTGGACGGACGGACCTTTACACGTAAGTTTGGCCTCAGTCCAAACGGCGAGGAAATGCCGAGACAGAGGCCGCTTTGAACGCGCAGGAAGGAGGGTATTGGAACAACGCAAACGCAATACCGATGCAAAACAGATGTTGTTTGAGTTGGGCTTCATGAGCGGGAGCATGGGAACTGGTGGAGGAGGAGTGGGCTCGCTGTTTCTTTCCGACCATTCAAATTCGTAGTTTCTTTTTTTTTTTGGATATATTTACTCTGTCATTGTACGAACATGGCCCATGTGTTTTCTTTGCGCGTTCAACCCCGTTCATCCGACCCACTACGCAAAGTAATCGCTTTCTCAAAAACCCCCTCACCACCTTTCCGGCGTCAAAGATCCAGTTGATTTGATAGCCGTTGGGTTGTGTTGTGTTGCCGTGGGGTGTGTGTGCGGGGGAACGTCAGAGACCGGAAATATCCATCCGGTCGTTGACTCACTCACCTCACCTCCCACGCAACGCACGAACCCGTCATTTGGCCCGTCATGTTCAATCACCTAGTTCGTTTTCTCACATCTGTATTTGCTTTTGGTCACGCACATTT